GACCGGCAATCCTGGCTCGCATTGGCTGACTCTGATCCTTCGCTATAGCCCAATTTACATAAATCCTTACAAAATTAGAAGTAGCTCTATTTGCATGATTATTGCTCGCAGTATCTCTGAGATATTTTGATTCCAGCGTCACGACATAATCTCCCTTAGTGCAATGTACCATTTGATTGATCATATCCACTGTGGGGAAAACAGTACGCAGTTTAACGTCCGAATTCATCAGCTCCCATACCTCCACGCAATGTGTGGGCAATGCCAGTAGGAGCATCTCCTGTCCCTGGCTGATTGCTGTACACATCGCTGTAGGCTCCTCAATTTGGGCGACATTCTGCCCTAGAAAATTGTGTACCGTTATCACACGTACCATCTCTGCACTCCGTTCTTATCGTTTATCTAAATGAATAGAATAGAAATTTATTACTTCAGTTTCATCTATCTAATTGTTAAAAGTATGTTTTCAGAAACAAATTATTATATAAGTTAAAGATAGTAAAATGGATAACTAGAGAGTCAGATATATACATTCTCCCTTTACATACCTAATTTATCTAAGACTCTACAACTCTTACATGCAGTGGAACACAGGCATTATAATTATACTTCTATTTTCGTTGGAGTTTTTGCTTCGTTGACAATTATGTGAGCGTCGTAACGAATGAACATTCGATGTTTTCTTAATAATGCCAATAAAATATGACTCAACGCACGGAGTTACGATTTGTGGAGGAGCGACATGCTGTCAGGTATCTCGTTATGGAGCAACGGACCGGTGGAATCGTGAGTACATTTATTGGCATTATGTCGTTTGTGAGTTAATTTCACGAAAATCGATGCAACGCGACACACACGGTGGAGGATTCACGAGAGAGAGAGAGGCGTAACAGATCGCATCAACAAGCGCGATTGCGCGGGGTATTCTCGATCGGCGTCATGCTTGGCGTCATGCTTGAGATGCATTTCATTCGACGAAAATGATTATCTAACGCACAGTAGGAGGGAGAAAGAGAGAAAGAAAAGAATTGGTCTGTTTGACATTTCCTGGCAAATCGCGCTTGCGCATGAAGAGCTTGACAGCACGATGCATACATCCTTGCAGTCTCTGCATTGCATTATCCCTGCATTATGCTTATAGTCTGACTTAAAAAGAAATAGATATATGGGATTAGATATTCGGAAAAAAAAGAAAATAGATGAAAAATACAATTTGACTGCAAAGAACAAGTTGGAGTACACCATCGTTGAAGTCAAGTTATGTCGACAATAAAATCTATATATCGATGGACAATCTTTTGATGGATGTGCGTTTGACATGCGTACTGCTAGGGATAGTTTCGGGTGAATGTACTCACAAAGGAGGTGTCTTGTATGTTATCCATTTTGATAAGTTTTAAATATGTTATAAAGCATCAAAAAAATTAGATCTATATTTTTTATCTGCTTATCTCGAAGTTTTAGAGTTGAAACAATCATCAAAAATAATTTTTCATTTAAAAAGATTTTTTTCATTTACATTTTTGAAAAATGAATATGTTATTAAGAATATAAAAAATATCTAAATTTTTACTTATTACTTAAATTTTATATTTTATTTAAACTTTTGTGTGAAATTTTTTTATATATCATAATTTCATTCATATATCAAAAATATTCGCTGAAAATGAAAAAAATGTTTATTTTCGAGGGAATTGTTTCGACTTCTAACCTTGAGCTAAAAAGATAAAAAAAGGTCTAATATTTTTTATTTTATAACATATTACAAAATCCAACAAAATTGATGAGAAAATTTTTTGATTTGGAAAATTGTAACGTAGATAACGTATGTACGAATCGTTATTATGTTCGTACATACATGATAATGTAGATACGAAAAGCCTAATAACGTCCTAATCGAAATATTCAAAATCAAGGATAAAATCGAAGAAAATATATTGGGTTGTCCGGAAAGTTCGTGCCGATTTTGAAGGAAAATTGAAACGCAGAAGATTTAAATTTTTAATTTCATTTATTAAATTTAAATCTTTTGCGGCATGTAGTATTTAAATATGTAGTATTTAAATATATAAATGATACATATATGCATAAAAATATTTAAATGTTTTATATAAAATATACCACTACACTAGTAATGATAATTATCAATATTACAATAGTTGCATTTTTCATTTTCGAAGAAAATTGCAGAATAACGTATATTACAATTATTTCATTCTTATTCTGATGATTTTTTTTTTTATTTTTCTTATGATTAAATGAAACGTTTTATCTATGAATATTATTTATAAAATAAATTAATGTAATAATATGTCAAACAGAAAGAGTTACGTGAGAAAAATAAAATTGAAAAAATATATATGGACATTCTACGCCAATGTTCTGTATTTCACAATCACATGACAGTAGAGATAATACGAACATGTTTATTTGACATTAATTTGGATAGATAACGCTAAATAATTAATCATAATTTTTAATCATTTATAAAAACGTAAAATGCAAGATACTCTGCAATATTACATTTCTATGAGTTTCTGTGTAAAACATTTTGATTGGTCACATTCGTGTCAGAGAAGTGTTATGTTATTATTGAGTTCGCAGGACGTTCTTCTAGAGAAAAAAAGAGAGAAAGGAAGGGAGAGAGAAAGAGAGTGAGGGGAGAGCGAGAGAGGGAGGACGATCATGATAAGAGTATCTGACCACTGATGTATCAGTGTGCCTGAATCACAGCTATTGTATTTGGTAGTTGTGTTAGTTCCAGTTTGTACTGTGTGATCTGCGTTTGAATTATTACCATGGCGTTACCAATAGCATTGACAACTTTGTTTAAGTACGTTTCATTTTATTCTTTAAAATATTTCCAATTTGAGAACAAAAGCAAATATATTCGAAGAGATTTTTGAGATTCAATGTATATACATGTCTGTGTGTACTCAAGCAGAACAACAAGTCATTATGATATCAAAATGTTAAAATGATTCCAAAATGATCACAAAAATCATTTTTCAATTATTTTCGATTCATTTTGATATCATTTTAACGTTATCGTGACTTTTTCTGCTTGGGTACATTTTATTTATAATTAATTGATCTTTCACTTTTTCACACTTTTAGATACATAGATGAACAAAAAGAACAATATATAAATAATTTGAAAAAGGCAGTAGCTATTAAATCTGTGTCAGCATGGCCAGATTACAGAGACGAAGTGATTAAAATGATGAAATGGACAGAAGCAAGATTAGAAGATCTTGGAGCAATTACAGAATTGGCTGATGTAGGAAAACAGACTCTTCCTGATGGCAGTGAAATCCCACTTCCTCCTGTGTTACTTGGAAGTCTTGGCTCAGATCCGAAGAAAAAAACTGTACTTTTATATGGCCATTTGGATGTACAGCCCGCATTAATGAAGGATGGCTGGGATACTGAGCCGTTTACTCTTACCGAGAAGAATGGAAAACTCTATGGTCGAGGCAGTACAGATGATAAAGGACCTGTTCTTTGTTGGATACATGCATTGCAAGCATATAAAGCAACTGGAATTAAGATTCCTGTCAATCTCAAGGTATTTTCTCACGAAATTAAGAATAATTTGATATTGTTATTCAACATTTATTTTATAATATACATAACATTTATCTTAACTTACCTTTGAAATCTTTGCTTAGTTTGTCTTTGAAGGAATGGAAGAAAGTGGTAGTGAAGGTTTGGATGAACTTCTTTGGGCAAAGAAAGATAGCTTTTTAAAAAACGTAGATTATGTCTGCATATCTGACAATTATTGGCTGGGCACCAAAAAACCATGTGTCACTTATGGTCTACGAGGTATCTGCTATTATCTAATAGAAGTCACTTGCGCCACTAAGGATTTACATAGCGGTACTTTTGGTGGATGCGTATACGAAGCTATGGCAGATTTAATTTATTTAATGAATACTCTGGTCGATGTTAACGGTCGCATCTTGATAGATGGCATTTATGATAATGTCGCAGAATTGACGAAAGCCGAATTAGACAGTTATAAGGATATAGATTTTGATATACATGAATTTAGGAATTCGGTTGGAACTAAAGAACTAGCACATAAGGAAGATAAAGTATGTACATATTTAGTTTTTCTTTTCTACGAAAAAAAATTCTGAAATCTACATTAAATATAAGTCTCTATATTAATTTTTACAGATTAAACTCTTAATGCACCGTTGGAGGCAACCTAGTTTGTCTCTTCATGGAATAGAGGGTGCTTTCAGTGAATCAGGAGCAAAAACAGTAATTCCGAGTAAAGTTACTGGCAAATTTTCGCTTAGAATAGTGCCTGACATGACTCCAGATGAGACGACTGACAAGGTGATCAAATATATAAATAAAAAATGGCAAGAAAGAGGCAGTCCAAATATTATGAATGTGAGCTTGTTCCACGGTGGCAAACCATGGTCCGAAAATCCCGATCATCCGAATTACGTAGCTGGTCGAAAAGCTACTCAACATGTTTACAACGTAGAACCTGATCTCTCTCGTGAAGGTGGATCGATACCAGTTACTTTGACCTTCCAGGAAGTTACTGGTAAAAATGTATTGCTCTTACCAGTCGGTCAGGGTGATGATGGTGCACATTCTCAAAATGAAAAGTTAAATGTACATAACTACATCCAAGGGGTAATAACTATTGAAATTAACAATCTAAACATTTACTGATTTTTCATTGTAATCAATATATTAAATAATTTATTTTCTCATTGTTTCCAGACGAAACTCCTTGCAGCTTATCTATATGAAGTAGCTCACGTGTAATATTTTGCTATTGACAATAACTTATCCTGAGGTGCTTGGAATTTTTTTTTATTATTAATTTACTTTGAAGCATTATAATAT